CCCTGGGTCCTCCAGGCAGCACGCGCTCAACTAAAACGGTCTTTTCACCAGTGGCACAGTCACCCACTACCACACCTCAATCTCCTAAACAAGGAAATACCTGCTTTGGAAATACTTTGCTCCCTCTCCTTTGACAGCAGTCCTCTCCTGTTCCTTCTTTTAGTTGTTACAGCAATCCTTCCCCATCCCTCTCCCTCCTGAAGTCCTCCAAGGGCCTAGCCTGTGGGCTTAAGTGACCTGCCACTGTTACCGGTAACACTCTGAACGTCATCTTAGAACCTGTCAGGCACACCCGGGGTCGGCTCTGACTTTTTTCTAATCGGGGCCCCAGCTGAACTTCAAAGCCGAAGGCATCGCTGTGCCCAGGGCTGGCCTATGCAGCGGGCCTTTAGTTCAGATCCTCAGGACATGGACATGGTGACATCATGTTGGCTGCTGGCCAAAAAGAGAGACTGTACAATTAGGACCCAAGACTAGCTATTTATATCAAGTCCTCAACGCATTCCTTCCCATCCCTTCCTCTGGTGTAACTGCAGTGAAAGACTTTTCTTTCAGGGTAAAAACCAAACCAAAACAAAAAACCCAACTTGCATCACCCATGCCTAAAACAGCCCAGGTGTGGCATTCAAGGCTGGGGCAGGGCCGGGCCCCATGCTGCTGGGACACACCACACCCACACAGGAGAGGAATCAGGGCCACCAGAAATTGTCCTGTGAACTGCAGGCTACGGGACAACCCACTGTCTGCGCTGACCGCCCCGCGCACAGAGAGCAGAGCCCAGGCCGACCGGCCGTCCACACCACCGGCAGAGGGAGAGCAGGAAGGACGAGAGCTGGCCAGAGGAAGGGGGTGGAAGCCTCCACACGGGCGCTGGGCAGGGGACCTGAGGGTTACGGCCGATTCCGTTTATACACATCAGAACATGGAGAGCCAAAGAGAGGCACCGGCACATCTGGAGAGTTTGTGACTTCAGGCATCAGGTGTCTTAAAGCATCCGGTTGCCACCAGCAGTGGGGAGGGCAGGGCCCTATTTAAAGGCTGGGGCCAAAAACCAGCCTCACACCCTACTCTCCGTGTCCGCGGTGGAGGGCATGCTCACCCTCTACGGCCACACAGCTTCACAGCAGCCACTCTCCACATACACGGCCGTGAAGCCTCAGAGCAACTCCCTTCCCAACAGCACCCATCTGGCACTTCTGATCTGGGGAATCATTTTGAGGGTGGTGTGGACGGCCAGCCGGTCTGGGGCTTGCTCTCTGCACGCGGGACAGTCAGGGGGACAGGCCCCACCCAGGCCCAAGGCCCTCTCCGAGGACAGCGACCCTCTGCCGGGGCTGGGGGGGTGGGGGGGGCACTGTAACCCCGCCGCCCTCTCTGGAGTCTTTCCACAGAGGCCAGTTTCCGCTGGGACAATGCCTGCCCTCTGGGCTCCGCTCCCAGCGGGAAGCGGGGGCAGGGAGGGGGGCCCGCATTGTCACACAGCGTCCAATTCACGCCAAACAGTGGCCACAACAGTGGGGCTTCAAGGGCCACATGTAACGAGCTGCCCACTCGGAGCAGCAGAGCGGGCCGGGCCAGGCCAGGGGCCGGGCAGACCCAGGCAGCAGGTGGCCCAGATCAGCACCCCCTCTCCGGCGGGCGCAGGAACCACGCCTGCCTCCGCGGGGGTGGCTTGGGGACAGAGACGTGGCCAAGGGCCCCAGGGATGACGGAGCTTTGCCTTCCCTTTGCCAGTTCACTTCCCTTGCCATTCCCTCTAACTAAAGGAGAAAACACTGAAGAGAAAGAAAATCAATGCACACACCATGCTTAGTGTCCTAATTTATGGACAGTTGCATGGGGTGGGGGGGGTGGAGAAAAACCTAATTTGAATCGACAAAAAATGAACAATATCCTTTAAAATACAGCCGGGGCTAGATGGCTGGGCATGAATGAAACGCATTACCCAACCGACTGCGGCAGTAACACAAGCCCTCCCTCCCCAGCCCGGGCCTCATTCATAAAAAGCCGGCTCTGCCTCAGCAGCTGCGGAGCCGGCACTGGGTCTATGTCTACATTCTCCGAGACAGAGGAACCCCGCAGCCTCCAGCCCCGAGGGGCCTGTTCTCTGGGGCTCCCGTGCTGCCCTCTCTGGCTCCAGGTCCGCTCCCGGACAGAATCGGCAGAGAGCCTCTGCAGAGCGGCTCGGGGGAGCAGGGCTGAATCCAGTGCCCCTCTTCAGGGCATCTTCCTGACCCAGGAATCAAACCGGCATCTCCTGCATTACAGGCGGGCTCTTTACCAGCTGAGCCACCAGGAAGCCAGCTTACAGGCCCAGCTGGTGGTATTAAAGAAATTCCCCATCTGCTGAGTCACTCGCCGACTCTCTCACCTCCCTGCTATTTAAAAAAGAATCACAAAAAAACAAAAATCGAAGGTTCTTCCTTGTTGGCAAAATGGGGGCTGCCAGTTTATCTAAAGACTGCCAAATTGGGGTGGAGGTGGCAACAAACTTCCAGAAGAGATGGAGTTCTTAAACTGTCCACTTTCAACTTGACAGCACCACGCTCGAACTTTTCACAGCCTCGGTAGACATCTCCAGGAGGTTACGCACAACTGTAATTCTACTTTTTACATTTCTACAGAGAACAACAATGGCTATGCCACTTTCTGGCGGGAGTCTCCCCACGTCCACCCCTTTTCCATGTCTCCCCTCTCAGCACAGCTCCTCTCACCACCTCCCAGGCCACCTCCTTCCGGCAAAGGAACAAGCCTCCTCGCTCAAACACGCCTTCCCTTAGGAAAGTCAGAAATCACCACGATAGACGAGAGGCTCTCCATTTTCTTTAGACTCCAGAGCCTTCTTCAAAACAAGGCCCGAACACAAAAGCATGTTCTAATTTAGCAGGAATGGTTTTTTTTTTATCCTAATTTAAGTAAGCCTTTATTTATTTATTTATTTTTTCCTGTTTACAGGTGATATATTTTTTTTTCTTTTCATTTATTTTTATTAGTTGGAGGCTAATTACTTCATAACATTTCAGTGGGTTTTGTCATACATTGACATGAATCAGCCATGGAGTTACATGTATTCCCCATCCCGATCCCCCCTCCCACCTCCCTCTCCACCCGATTCCTCTGGGTCTTCCCAGTGCACCAGGCCCGAGCCCTTGTCTCATGCATCCCACTGGGCTGGTGATCTGTTTCACTATAGATAATATACATGCTGAGGAATGGTTTTAATGCAAGAATTAAATAGCAACAGAGTGCAGGACAGGGAGACAGGAATAAAATCATTCTTGTTGCCCTAACACCAGAGCTGTCTTCCAGTAAATTGAGATATAAATTCTTCCCAGAGACAAGGTGATCAGCGCTATTAACTAGTCCCCTCGCTACTCTTGCAAAAAACACAAGCAGGGTTTCAAAATCTCAAATGGCAAGGGGTTGCAGGGGAGTCTGTTACACTTCCAGAGAATCCTAACTTTCACACTACCGTCCCACTATAATCCGGCTGTGCTCATCAGGGCTGGGGCCCAGGTGGCTGGGTCCCTACCCGCCCCCCACCAGCCCCCTGCCCAGACGGGACAGAGGCCCTCAATGCCCTCCTGCACAGAGCCTCCATTTCTACCACATTCCCTCCCCCACCAAAGGCCTCCCTCCCCACCTTCACCCAGGGACTGACAGCCAAGGAAATGAGAAAACAGCATGGAGACAGCAAATGAATCTTGTGAAATACCGGTCTGTAATTAAATCAGAATAATTCTATAACCTCCTCAAAGGCAGCAATGTCAAGATAACAAACTGAGAGCAAAATAAACAAGTCTTATAGAAATTACACCAGCCTTGATAAAGAGATTACTTTAGTGGCTGCTACCAGGAATCCACAATCTTTTTTTTTTTTTTTAACTCATCTCAGACCTTCTGACCATCACATGAGAGTTCCCACACAGAAACCTACAGGTCTGTGGTTCTCTGTGGCTTTACAGGTAAGGGGAAAGTACCCACGATCATTCTTAAGGGGCCCATGGAAGGAGGAGGTATATGAGCCACACATAATGGATACAGATTTAGGGAGATTTTAATACCTAAATTGTCTCTGGCCCCACTCCTAAACAACTGCTAATCAGTAAAATGTTTCTTAAGTCCTTGGGTGTGGGTATAGTTACCCAAAGACATGGCAACTTCCCTAAAGGAACACTAAAATATACCCTAGGGTGCACATCACTTAATCAAGCTTGAGTTCAGTTCAGTCACTCAGTCGTGTCCGACTCTTTGCGACCCCATGGACTGCAGCACGCCAGGCCTCCCTGTCCATCACCAACTCCCGGAGTTTACTCAAACTCATGTCCATTGAGCCGGTGATGCCATCCAGCCATCTAATCAAGCTTGATCGGAACTACATGTGTGGTACAGGGCAAGATGGCTAAGCTCTCTATCCTCCAGCATCCTCTTCTGTAGCATGGGTGTAACAATGGAGCTGACTCGCAGGCAGTCATAAGACCTGGTATACAACAAGTGCTCAATAAACACTAGTTGCTATTGCTCAGCTGTCACTGTGTCATCTCACCATCCCGCCTAAATTCTCGGCTGACTTTCCAGCACACAGAACAAAGCCCTTTCTTCTGTTCTTCCCTGTGTGATGATCGGCCTGGCCAGTCCTCCGCCCCTCACTGGTGGGCTCCAGCCCTGTGACCTGCCTCTTCTTCCTTCTCTGCCATCCCATAAGCATCCCATGTGCATCTGCCAGTCCTGCTGGCCCTCTGGGATGCTGACTGCTTCTTGCAACAACCTCCACCCCCATCCTGGTCTAAGGTGCACACCTTCTGCCCTTGGTCAGGGCACGTGCCTTCTCCTACTGGCCTCTCTGCTTCTGTCTGGGCCCTAGGGTACACGGTGAACTTAGAAGCCAGCACTGCACCTCTGCTCAGAACCCCGCCATCGCCTGTCCTGGGCAAAGACAAGGTCTTCACCATGGCTCCTGGCCCTCCAGCCTCCTGGCTTTCCTGTGCCCCTCCCTTTAGGTCTCTGCCCAAATGCCGTCTCCCTGGAGACCCCCTCTGAGCACTCTGTGGGAAAGAGTGCCCCACCAGGCACACCCCCAGCCCACCCTGCCTTAACAAACGCTCCACGAAGGCAGACGCTCCCAGCTCTACCCCCCTACCGAGAAGAGCGCCTGACACTGAGCAGGTGCCCAAAGTGTCGGGTGAGTAAACAGCCCTGCCCCGCCACGCACACACCCCGAGATCACCCGCACCTCGGGAGCTTCCCGCCTCGGGTCCCCTGCCATCGTGTCCCTGCATCTCCTCCTGGCTGACTCACGCTCTCAGGGCACACATCCCCTCCTCAGAGCGCCCAACACCAAGCCCCCCGACCCCACCCCACACACAGAGTTCCTCATCTGTTCCTGCTCACAGCGCGCATCTCTGTCTAATGTGAGGGCTTGACTATGATCTACCTGTGCCACTAGAATGGTTCCATCCAAGTGGGCATCTACTCATCCCTGGGCCCCCAGCGCCTATAGCAGTGCACCCAAGCACTGGACTGGGTTTGTGAAAGATGGTGGTGTGCACGCTGACCGTTTTTTACAAGGCAAATCTGGGAACAGGATGGAAGGGCCTGTCCTTCCCACACCACACACTCTGAAGGTTCTCTTTCAATCCAACACCCCTGCCGCCTGCAGACGCCTGTGTGCTGGTGGGCTCCGTGGTCACTGGCAGAAGCACTCAAGAGCTGGGGCTTATTTGTGCGCAAAGGAAAACAAACCTAAGTTACTAAATAACAGCTCGACATCTGTCACCACAGAGGAGCAGCTCCACACACGGCCAAGGATCCCACACGGCGCGGCCTGTCCAAACACCAGTCGTCAGCTCCCCTTCCCCTTGAGCGGGCTTCAGCCTGCTCATCACGGCTGCCTGGAGACAGGCTTAGAAACCAGCGCCGGGACCCCAGCGCCCAGCCCCCTGGCCTCGGATGCGCTCACCGCCTGTGCAGCGGGAACATCCTGCGACCTTCCTAACAAGACCAGCCACCCGTCAGGCCAAACGTGGGACTTGAATGGTGGTGCTGTAGAGGTGGCGGGGAAGCCGGGACCACGAATCGGGACTCTGCGGGCCCCGCGCATGCAGCACAGGCGAAGAGCCGTGGAGAAGTGGGGGACCCACTCCTGCACCAGCATCCCCCACACGAGATGGCAGCAAGCTTGCTGCCCCCCAAGACCCCGGGCCCCTGGCCTCGAGAGTTAGACACGCTCTCAGAATTCCAACAGGATCTGTGAGCGAGAGTGTTCAAACAAACCCAGTGTGAACGCGCACTCGGCAAACACTGACGCAGCTGTGGTGGCCTAGGTGCCTGGGAGAATTGGGAAGAAAAGCTAGGGGATCAGATCCCTGCCCGTGTCAAGTGAAGTGGGGCTAAGGGGGACACAGAGAGGAAGGACCCAAGAGACATCATTATTCAGTTAAATCATATAATAGAAAATAAGAAGTGAAATATAGAAAATAATCAGATTAAAATTACCAATTACTAGTCACGAGAACTGAGCGGCTCAGACTGTGGATCCGGGATTCTAAGACATCTGAGGAATGATGCTGTTTGCAGGACAAACATGCTCCCGGAGGAATGTAAACCCAAGGACCAGGCTGAGCATGCGGCTCTGGCTCCCCGTGCAACTCTCAGCTCAGGAAGGATCCCCGGGCACAGGCCAGATTTCAGCAGCATTTGCTGCAGACACGAAATGCTCTGCACCAAGTTCTCACTTCTGCTACATGACCAGGGACCCTCGTGATCTGACTGGAGTTAATCCAGAACTGAGAGAGGGGTGGGCTTTTACAACAGATCTCAAACACCCCCCAACTGCTCCCCCCACACACATCCAGGCACCTTTACCCCTCTTCCACCCCATCTTCCCAGGGGGGCACAGGAAAACCCACTACAAACCAGCCAGCACAGTGCCTAACACAACACCCAGCCCCTGCCGCCCAGGTGCCCTGCTGACACCGCCTCCCGCACTAGACCTGCTCGGGGCCCGCGCCGCCGCCTCGGGCACTAGACCTGCTCGGGCCAGCACCACCGCCTCCCGTGCTAGGCCTGCTCGGCCCGCACCACCGCCTCCCGCATTAGACCTGCTCGGGGCCCCGTGCCGCCGCCTCCCGCATTAGACCTGCTCGGGGCCCGCACCACCGCCTCCCGCACTGGACCTGCTCGGGGCCCCGCGCCGCTGCCTCCTGCACTAGAGCTGCTCACAGCCCACACCACCGCCTCCTGCACTGGACCTGCTTGGGGCCCGCACCACCGCCTCTCGCGCTAGACCTGCTCGGGACCCCGCGCCGCCGCCTCCCGCACTAGGGCTGCTCACGGCCCCGCACCGCCGCCTCCCGCACTGGACCTGTTCATGGCCCCGCGCCACCGCCTCCCGCGCTGGACCTGCTCGGGACCCCGCGCCACCGCCTCCCGCACTAGGGCTGCTCACGGCCCCACACCGCCGCCTCCCACGCTGGACCTGCTCGGGGCCCCACGCCACCGCCTCCCGCACTAGGGCTGCTCACGGCCCCGCACCGCCGCCTCCCGCAGTGGACCTGCTCATGGCCCCGCGCCACCGCCTCCCGCACTAGGGCTGCTCACGGCCCCACACCGCCGCCTCCCGCACTGGACCTGTTCATGGCCCCGCGCCACCGCCTCCCGCGCTGGACCTGCTCGGGGCCCCGCGCCACCGCCTCCCGCACTAGGGCTGCTCACGGCCCCGCACCGCCGCCTCCTGCACTGGACCTGCTCGGGGCCCCGCACCACCCACTGGGCTACATGGCGGAGCACAGTCCATCCATGAGAAAGAGGCTGGGCAGACAAGCGCCGTCCTTCAGTATTGCCAGGATTTCAGATATCCACTACCTCAGTGGTGACCCGGTTAGATTGTTTGCAAAAGAATAATTTAAATAGGTGTTTCAACTTACTAGGAAGAAAGCATGAGCAACACACCGGGGTAAACCCCAAACATTTGGCATGTTCCATCCAGAAGCAGTGGCTCTCAGGAAATCGCATTTGTAAAATATGCTCATTAAAGTCAGATCATTTCTTCAAGAAACGTAATAATTCTAACAAAACTGTGTATTGTTAAATTTTTAACTTACTAATACATGTGGATATGATTTTAAAGACATAAAATACATGACTATTTAACCAAGCCTAGAGGGCAAAGTTAAAACAACACCGCATCCAGGTTAAAGTGAGCCTTCTCATGACTCTCTCCTTTCCCAGATTCTTTCATTCCACCTTTTAAAACGTCAGTCACATAAAAACTTACCTTTTAGCTATTTCCTAGATAATTTACAACTGCTATAAAACATTCAATTCTTTTCCCACTACTTTAGTTAAGGAGCTGAAGGCTAAAATATTACTAATTTTCACATAATTTAGTGCTTATACATCAGCCGATCCAGATTCTTCCTTAAGCCAACCCACAGTGAGGTCAAGGTCAGGGAAAGATTCATGACTTGTGGTCCGAACTGATCGCAACGCTAAGGTATAAACAATCAGGCCATAGCTGGGAAGAGAGCAGAGAAGGTCACAGATTACACAGTGCTGACGTCCACACACCAAGGTTGAACACTCAGGCCTCAAATGACCAGGGTCAAGAAGCAAGCGGTTCTTGCTTCGGGGAGACAGCAGGCACATTTTCCAGTTGAGCTCGCAGTGAATCACGGTCACGTGGTACTGCACGCGTTCCCCAAACTACTGCAGAGGAAGAGCTCTGAAACGATTCCATTTTGAAGCCCACGACTACAACGAAATGACAGCAAACATTGGCAGAGCAGCTGTACACAAAAGTGCCTCGGAGGAGCTCAGCTAGGAAGCGGAACTTCGCACAGACAGATCAGAACGCCACTTATGTAGAGGAGACGGTTTGTTTACTGATTCTCAAGTCCATTTCGTGAGAGCATCAGTGACTGCCCCATCCTGGAGAGCCACTCGGCTGTTATCAGAGCTGTCCGGGACACCCCGCCTCCCCCTGCAGCCCTGCCCCCTGGCTTCTCACAGGCACTGCACTCGCCTGCAGGCCGCACCGTCTACACCCTTCCACACTCAGGCAAGCCCGGCTCAGACATCTGGCATGAAGCCCCCGTCTCCTGAAGACACCTCCGAGAGCCATGCCATCAAGCCCAGAACTACGGCCCTGAATCCCAAACTGCGGAAGCCGAGACTGGTTTCTTTTTTTTTTTTTTAAGAAGCCAAGGAAAGTCCTCTGTGTGCAACATCTTATAAACCCACAGCTGTTGAACAACGTCTTTCAGTCATGGAGCTGAAGTCAGAAGAGATGGCGTTTTCACAACAGCCTTTCCCTTCTGGAAGGGCGCACACAGGACACTTGTCATGGCCATCGCATCCACAACGAGATCAAGTCAACTCCCCACTGTGCACCTTGCGTCAGCTCAGATCAGAGACTAAAGCTGTACCCTAAAAGTCACCCCTGCTTTGAGGCGCTTTGCAAGAGTGAAGCTATTAAAATCTGAGCAAAGGGAAAAATACACATATTTCAGGACATTCTACCTTTAAGGGTCACAAAGAGTCAAGGGTGTTCCCTCTTTGAATAGAGTTTTATCTTCACTGAAATAAAAGGGTCTTCACAGAGAATTTTTCGTACAGATCTCTGGATATAAATTACAGATTGATGTCAACATGGTGGAAGAAATTTGAGGAAACGGATGTTTCTTTCATAAAATATTATATACACCAGAGTATACGCTCTAAGCTATAAATATGACATATTTACTAATATTTGTGTCAAAATAAAAACATGTGAACTGGCACTTTAACAGGCTGGCATCTCCTTGTGTTTTAGTATAGAGAAGTGTAGGGACGCAGTCTCTTTTTACAGAGAAACATATTGTGACTACTGCTAAGACCAGGAGTAACCCGAGTCCATGACTTAAAGGGCAGAACTAAGCCCTATTACTGCAGTGATAACAGTAACAGGAGCATCTGATTACATGCAAGCTGGCTCTCACTAAGCTCTGAAACATTAGAAGGCCTCCATTTTCATTACAAATGTTTGAAAATGCTTTTAAAACAGAGTCACTTATTGACAATACAAGGTGTTTAAGAGTACTTGTGTTCCTTTCCCAAAAGGGAGACTTTTTTTTTTTTTTTTTGCTGTTTGTTAATTTTCACATCTGTCAGCAACTGACAACTGGATCTATTGAGCAATCGTTTATTCAACGAAACATCATATAAAATTGGAATGGAATTCTATGATCAAGTACAAGAGAATTGGGAGTAACTTCACAGACAGCAACATCTAATAGTGCACGGACCCAGAGGTTCTCTGTAGTGCCCCTGGGGAACAGGGCAGCCTTTGTATTGGTATCGAACAAACAGGCCTGGAGCTTTTCAGGAGGGGTAAAAAAATCAATACAGTAATATACAATTGCAGACAAAGCTACATGTGTTTACAGAGTTTTAGTACATAGAAATATGTGGTTCAAAAGTCTGTTGAACTCCAATCTGTATTTGGTCTCTCACAAGAAGAAACCCACAGCCACCCTCCACCCCTAAATATCAACTCACTGAACATATAAAAAAAAATTCTGTGTTTAGGCCCAGAATACTGGTACAAAATATCCAAAAATGAAAGTGAACTTTTCCAAGGAAACATCCAATAATTAAGAGGAATAATAACTGCTTAAAATTCGGGCTTTGGAAATTTGGCCTCCCACCTGTCCCCATCTAGGGATGTAAATCAAAAAGATTGAAGTTGTAAGATAAAAAATACATATGAAAAGATCCATCCTAATGTGGTAACCTGCGTAGTAACTTCCCACCAGGATTTAGCCTTTGATGCTAACGGCTACACACTGATAGCTTTTACTTTAAAAGCCTCTTTCCAAACAAACAGACATCAAATCAAAACGCATACTTTAAAATTAGCCATGTTTTGCTGATTTGTCTTCTACATTTCCAAAGATGAATCTCAGGCAGAAATCCCACTTGTGGGTACTCTTATCTCTCAAGATACACGCGAATGCCTCAGAAATGCTGAGTTCATATAACAGTGGGCATGTGTGGGTGCCAGTCATTTTCACTTCTCTTGAGATTAAGCAGCTACCATTTGAAGGCTCTGATTCTATCCCCCCACGTATACAATATTCTGCCAGTTAACACTCATTTGGATCAGCAAATAAACGGCAGAGGGTGGTGTTACTGCCAGCCCTTCATACCTTAAACCTGAATGTCAGGATGGCAATCTGACTCAAGTATTCTATAGGAAATGAATTTGGGGATTTTTAAGGTAATAGGAGGACAAAAAGAAACTTTTCTCTTAACTGCCTGCTTGGCCCTACCAAAAAAGAGAGATGTATAAACCCTACCCAGTGTCTTCCACCGAATCCCCGGCCAGGTGAGCAGTTATGATGAGAGTACATACAGAAGCAATTTTGACGGATGTCCACTCTCCTCTCACCTTCCGCTTTTCCTGCAAACCACACCACCAAGACCCTCCACCTGTGTTTGTGTAAAATAACAGGTACCTTAAATGTGCTGCCTGCCTTTTGCATCACTGCCATGCAACACGGCGCGGACTGTGCCGATCGTTAACTATGCCACACATGCCTGTGAATTCTGACTCATCCCCGCCCTGCAACTCTGTTTACTGTAAGATACTCAGCCTTTATTGATCACACAGCCTTTTCACTTTCAACTTAAAAATGCAATCAGACAATAGGTGGTCTTATGTGACTGGCTTCTGTCACTTGGACAGTATCTCCAAGATCCATCCACCCATTTTACTTTCTATCAGGTAGCAAAATAGCTTGTCGATCTGTGATATCAATGTGATATCAAAGGTTGGAAAACTGTCCTCTTTCACAGTCCATGGATCACACGTTACATGGCAGGTGGTCACAGGTAAGGACTTTAATGCTTGAACAGATCACCACTGTTCCTGGCTTCATCCTTGTATGTATAAAATATAATGAAAAATAAACTGCTTACTGTGGAGAAGGAAATGGCAACCTGTTCCAGTACTCTTGCCTGGGAAATCCCATGGACAGAGAAGCCTGGAGGGCTACAGTCCATGGGGTCACAAAGAGTTGGTCACAACCGAGTGACTAAACAACAACAATAAAAACTGCTTACTAAGTTTAATAAGTTACAAATAATAAGTTAAAAGTCAATTATTAGAGGAAAAGATACAAAGTAAGTTGGTTGCTGCCTTTTTAGTTCTTTTGAGATACCAGAGTAACATTTGCTGCATTTGGTAAAGGCACAGCACCCTATAAGGAGGGCAGCCACACACACAAGGCTTCCCTGGCACCACAA